TAGATGACAGAACAATGCTTTGAGGTTTCAATCCCACAAAATCTACATTCTGGTCCAGAACTCCTTTGTTAAATTTTTCATGACACCTGAAAATGATAGGTCTTCTACTCTGTGAATAGACAGATCTGATTTCATAATTCAGTCAAGTTTTTTAATCATGTTTTTACTCTCTCTTTCTCTTCATTGTTTATTCTATCATTTCTGAAAAAATTAAAATCACGAACTATGATAGATTTGTCTATTTTTTTATCAATATTGCTTTATGTTTTAAGGCACATTACTGGTTAAACCAAATTTATAGTGATTACATTTTCTAATTGAATTTATTCTTTTATAATAAACATAATTCAATTTACTTCTAATAATACCAATTAAAGTTGACTTTATCTGATTTAGAAAGCTACACTACCTTGTCTGGATTAATATTTGTGTTGTATATCTTTTCCAATCCTTTCGTTTCTAACTACTCTGTGTTTTTCTATTTCAGATGTGTCTGTTACAAATATCATACAGCTGGAGTTTATTTTTAATCTGACAATTTTTGGATCTCAGTTGATGTACTTAGTCCATTTATAATAAATGTAATCACTAATGTTAGGCTTGTGAGACTATCTTATTTTGCATCTACTCATGTTATTTTCCTGTTTTCTTATTCTTTGTTGCTTTCTCTAAATTTTATTTCTTGCCTTTCTAATTAGAGATAATTGGATTAGTTTTAATTGATAAGATTACAAAATGCACTTTTTATTTATTACTGTCTAGTCTAGTCAGTATAAAGTCAGGAACTTTTTCTGGGTATGAGCGAAGATTGACAAATCCTTAAATTGTTTAATTTAATGTGCTTTTGCCCTCCCTTTGTAATATTGGTGTTATTTTTTGAACTTACATTTTAAATCCAAAAGGACATTATCATTATATGTTTTTTATTTCTCTTCTTCTATCTGGTGTTTTTTATTCTGCTTTTATCACTTTTTCCAATATTTTCTTTCAGCATTGGTATAAACTATCTCAATTTTTACTAGTCTAAATATATCTTTTAACTTTTTTCTTTCTAAAATATTTTTTCCAAATATAGACTTCTAAGATAGCAAATATTTTCTTTAGCATTTAAAAAAAGATTTCAGTGTGTTGTCTTATGACTCATACTCAACGAAGTCTGGTATATTATTGTACTTTTTAAAGTAGTATAACTTTTTGTTCCATTTTTGAGATTTTTGTCTTTGTCTTTGATTTCAGCATATTCACTGTCTGTAGATACTGATGCAATTTCCTGGCAGTTGATCTTGTTTGGAGTTTTATAACATCTTAAATCTGAGATCTGAAATCTTTTGTCAATGTGCAACATGCTTGGAAATTATCTGTAAATATTTCCTCTGCCTCAATTTCTCTGTTCTTCTAGAACTTCAGTTTACATTATGAATTTTTATTAGATCTCACTTTTTCTAAAGATTTTTGTATGTTTTCATCACTTTCCTGAACTTCACTTTGTTAATTTTCTAAAAATTTATAGGTCGTTAATTTTTCTGCTCAAAATTCCATTTTGTAATTTCTTTATTTGAATTGCTAGTGTTATTTTTAGCTCTAAATTTTCCACTAGACTCATATATTCTAACTCTGTAAACTATGTCTTATCTATTTTTGCATATTAGTCATAAGTATCTTAAAGACAGTGTCTAGTAACTCTGCTATCTGGGTAATCTGTGGACCTGAATGTGGTTTGTCTTTTAGTTTAGTTTGGGTTACTGTTATTTGACTCCATCATCTAGAGTAACTGGTAGAAATGTTAGAAATCATTCATGAAAATTGTAGATGCTTTTTGTGACACTGTATTCCTCCATAAAATACATAATTGTCCTCTGTTAGGCATTTGGGACATAGCCAGTAAACCTCAGAATGTCTCAGGCTGAGTTTTAGACTTCATGTAAATTGGGCCATTTCTCTTTGCCCTTACAAATGGGATGTCTCAGAGCCCCTCTTCCTTAACAGGGGCTCAAATCCAGTTTCTTTCCCTTGTGCTGAGCCTCCTGAAATCAGTGTGTTGCTCTCCAACCTCCTAGATTACTTTCTACTTATTTTTTTAGCCATTTCTCTGCTCCGAAAATGTATAATTTAGTAATTACCAAGAATCGCAAAAGAAAAATCACAACAGAAAATCCACTTCCCTTTTGTGTTTTTCATGTTTCTGGGATCTTGAGCTTGCACTCCAATTTCTATATTTCCAGTAATGAGGCTGAATCAAGCTTTAGGCTACATCTTTTCTCTACTCTCTTCACTGAGAATTTGGCAATTTCTCTGGAAGGAAAAACTGAGCTATATGTAGGACTCCCTCCAATGTATGACTCTTCTCCTAGGATTGGACCCTCAGGTCCTTGTTGCCTTGGCCCTTGTCTGATGTCTTTAAATAGCCACTTTTAAGTAGTTTATCTAGCTGTGTTTTTAGCTTAATGAGTCTTGCCAATGTTCCAGCTCCAATAAAGTTAGAAATTATTCAGTACTCTGCAGCCCAAAAATTCTTATCAAGTGGCACTATTTGTCTCTATAATGGCCTAGAAGACTATTGTTTAAAGTTTTAGATTTGGTCCCAAAGATAAATTTAAAGAAGACACATGGAAACCATGACTATATAAACTTTGTTATCAAGATCCCTTTACAATGATTTAGTATCATTTTGTTTTGAAGTCCCATCAAGCTTTTGTTTTTCTGTCTCCATCGGTTTTAATCATGTTGTATCTTATTGGATTTTATATGTGATAGTATAAACAAAATATTTTATAAACAAGGAGATAATATAGTAACCTTTGTTCATTTTCTGTTAGTTGGTTCTAAATATCCTGTAATACTTTCATTCTCTTGAATAGTTTTACACTGTCTTTTTATGTTTGATACTATAGTATATAAAGGTATACTCAAATATTTCAAGGAAAAAGACATTATGGTAACTACTGTTATGTCAGATTGTCTTCTGGTGAAACATTATGTTGCTTAAACTGTTCTGACCTGTTTCGTTATGTCCTCTTTTATCTTAATCTGCTTTTTGTAAGTAAAAAAAGATTCCTTTACATCAAAAAGTTATCCTTGCAAAAATGTTTTCTTTGCAACAAAAAGTTATCCTTGGTAATTTGGGAAGTACTTTCTTACTGTTTTTTATATTCCCTCTATTACAACTCCTGTTGTTTGTGATGAGGATAACATATAATCTTGCCATTAAATGGATTATCTGAATATGAGCCATTCACCCACTGCCACCATGAAGGCTAGAATGATTTGTTTGAAATTTCATTGGAAATATAGGGGGATCTCCAGTTTGCCAACCATCTTGAAGTATATAACTAAAACTTACAGCCCTTCCCTGACAACTTTTTGAAATTTTTTTCTGAAACTATATGTTCTATAGTACTATCTATGAATCACTTTTATGACGTGCCCAACAAAATGGCTCAATCTACCCAACAAGCTGCCTTTCCCTGGTTATCCACTCACAAAATTTCAAATGAGTCTCAATTCATTCTATGGTTAATATTGGATCCTTAGAAATACCAGGTCTTATTTGGACTACCTGAAAAGAACCTCTCAGCACAAACAACACTTCTTCCTTGACAGTCTCAGGTCACCAATAACATGATAAATTTGATTTCTCATGTACTGAGAACCGAAATACAGAGCTTAGTGATAAAAGGACTACTACAGTTCTAAAATTATTTCAGATACTATAGAGACTAGACAATCCAGTTGTGAATGCTAGCAAAGTCTGACTAATATGCTTCCTTTTGGATCTATGTTTTTTTATTGTATCTCCCAAAGCTTGATATATATAAATATATATATATATATATATATTGTATATATATATATATATATCATATACTATATACTATATATTATATATTATATTTCTTGATCTCAACCTGATTCACTTCATGGCATTTCATGCTGTTTCCTTGGATAACATATGTTGCCTATTGCTAACCTACCGCTCATCTTTCTCCCTTCCCAATCCACAATATTAGCTTTCCTCTGGATACTACTTCATGTTTCCTTTGATTGTCAATTTAATGTGTTCCACACTCTGGGTCACAATGACTTTATCATACATATCATGTGGTATATAAATCATTATGTGATCTTCCTTTTTTATTTATTCCTCTCTGTTTTGTGTTTGATTACTAAGAAGATGACCTTTTCATGACCTCTTTTAAATCATTTATAAAATGCTTTGCAGTCTCTATAACTGTTCTCTTTCCAACATGAAATATCCTTCCAATTGTAGTAATTCAGTAAAAAATTAAATTTTGGTGTAATCCTGTCAAAGAGTCTGCAAATGTACACACACTGTGTTTCATAATTGTTCTTCTGTCACACAGATATTAGGCTACTTAGATGACCCATATCGTTTAACAAGTAAGATTCCTTTTATAAGGAAAAAAAGACTACAAAAGGGGTTATGTTTTATAAGTGTTCAGTCATTGCACTCATTGTCAAGGTGTCTACTCTTTTCTGAAGTGAGCTGCTCTTTCCTGCACTTCCCAAGATCTACTTGAAAATCCAGTCCATGCAAGAAGCCCACCAGTTTTCTGGTACGATAATCGTTGTAATCCAGGTTTCATTATCTAGCTGCCTTCTTGAGAGTATTCTCCTTGGTGCTTTCTCAGACATAAAATTAATCTGATTTCATGCATTCAGTTCATTTGTACCTTCAATATAGATTCAATCTAAAATGCTCAGTGTTCTCCACTGCTCTAATACCTCCTATTTGTTTACATTAAAATATCATTTGAAATAAAATATGTAGGTACGTATGCATGTGTTTTGCTTATTAGGGGCTGAACCCCAGCCTATATTTGCAACATTTCAATAGACTCTCCCCAAAGTTATTCTCAACTCTAAGCAGCTAACTCACTGAATACATTTTTTTGTTTTTCTTTTTCCCCCCAGCCCCACTTTCATAACCTCCATTAAGACCTCACTGTGGTTTCTGTCCTGCTTGGTCTCATTTCACTTACCCAGGTGAGTGACAGCTTCTTTTTCCCAAGGCCAGGTAGCAGCACCTGCAAGGTTTTCTCGCACTGAGCTGGCAAAGTAGACGTTGAGGAAATGAGTACCGTTGAGCTGCAAGGCTTCCTTTAGCTCCTTCACACTCATGTATGCCCTGAAGAACATGCAAAACAGAAAATGTCATACTACAGATTGGCACTTAGGACAATAAAGGCAGACCTGGTCATTGTAATGGCGTATCAGTCAGCATAGCCTTCTGGAGGGCCACTGAGGCCAGAAATAAGTACCGACACACATTTGCAGTATTTATTCCAAGTAGTAGCTTACATCTATAAACACTATAATATCTAAATGAATATAGTAGTTGGCATCCTTCTCATCACTCACCTTATTTCTTCAAGATAAATTCACTAATACTATCAATAGTACTGATTTTTTTTTATCTTGAGAATTATTCCCAGGCCAAAAAAGGGGGGGGGCTTTTATCAGCTACTGATTCTTATCCTCATAGTGCCTGATCCTTATTTTGATAGGAAGCCCATTTAAAACACTATATCAGTATATGAATATTCCAAACATCATCTTTTAGATGAAAAGGGGCAATTGAATTAAAGTAGTAAAGATGAGAATGAGTTATCGGTACTAGAGGACATCATAAAGCTACTGTGTGTAATAGTAATTATAAATACACTTCTGGTTTCCAGTCTTTAATATACAGAAAGTCTTCTACTACCTTAGGATTCTTACTAGTTGTCTTTATTGGTATCTTTAAAACCCCTGAGCAATATGATGCTTGTATTTATGCACAGAAACAAAGCTCTATTAATACCACAAGCTCCATTACCCATAAAAAAAAAAAAAAGGAAACAGGGATTGGTTTCTTTATAAACTCAAATACCATCAAAAAATTTCTGCTTCCTGGCATCAGTGAAACTTAAAACATTATCACAAGTAAATAGAGCTTTTCCATCTCCACCAAACAGTGATTTTAAGGAAGAACTAAACCAGAGCTCAGTGCTCAGTGACCTTTTACACTTACAAACTGATCTTCACAAATGGAGGAACATTCCCGTCACAGTTTCAGCCAGGTGTACAGTCCTTCCACAGGATGGAAACTTGGTTAAAAGATTATGATTCTTGTTTGTTCTACTAGACAAGGTGCAAGGGCTGAAGCCTCCCGATTTAGAAGCTCATATGGGGACAGCATGACCTTATCTCTTGTTTGCACCACCTCCCAACCCTGATGTTGGGACCATCTGCTTTCCCCATGTGTGAGGTGTGTTGGCATGGGACTCCAGAGAAAGAAGGATCCCAAAGAAAGTTCTTTTTGTATTCCTTGGAATAGAATCATGAAGGCAAATAAAGAAAAAAAAAAGGTCTTGCTTTAGAACTAAAAATGCTTATGAGTAAAGAATGTTAAAATAGTACTTTATTAACATAATATCTTGGAAAAATAGTTCTCATGCCCAAGAAGTCACCCAAACTCCATAAGGTGACGTCAGATATGATGAAAGGGATATTCCTTGTACTGCTTTCTTGGAGACTCAATGTTTTTGGACTGTCGCCTAGTTTTCTCTGGACAATAGTCACATTCCCTTTTCCCTTCTTGTTTATTAAAAATAATTATAGTTCTTTTTTTTCTGATGATTGGGGTGATGATGACATCAAGTAAATCTTCAATGTGGAGATATTTCACTAGGCCTGGGGAGGAGGGACAGAGGGAGGGAGAGAGAGGGGAAGAGGAAGAACGAGAAGAGAAGGGGCAATGGGAGGAGGAGAAGAGAGAAAAGAAGAGGAAGAAAGGGGAGGAGGGGAGAAGAGAAAAGAAAAGGAGAAAAAACTGAGACTACATTGAGCTCAGGATCTAAAGAAAGAAAAATTCTCATATCCATTCTCTGTTCTTCGTCCAGTTTTCCAATTAACTTGGAAGTTGGTAACTGAAGAGTTTTTCTCTTTCTTAGCCTCCTTTGCTTTCCCAAATCCTGCTGTTCCTGGCATGGTTTCCCTGGGCTATCTGTGTGTTACTGGCTTCTCTGTCTGCCATTTACCAGTTTTGGCCACCATCTGTCTGTCCTTTCTCAACCCAGCATTTCTGTTCATTTCTGTTGAGCACCCTCCAAGAGGCCTCTTCCACCACACCAAGCTCCCTAGTGGGTTCTACTCATCTCTCTTTTCTTCCTTGCCCAATTTCTTCCCAGTCATAAATTACCCTTCCAGATGAAAGTGTTTATGTCATACTGGTGGCAAGCTGGGTGTGGCTGCTCAGATTCCTGCACTCCACAGAAATATAGAAAATAATCAGCAAGTCAAAAGTAGGAAATACATTTCAAAACCAAAGACAGTTGGAAATCTCCATTAATTGTACTGATAGAAGAAAGCTTTGTTTTGTTGGAAACAACTCTGTTGTCTGGATTATTCTCTAAACCAGAGGGTGAAAGACAACATTCAAAATCAGTGAATGCGTTTTGCATGCAGAATTGCCCACAGCAATGCAATAGTTATTCAAGACTAATGAAGATAAATGTCAGCTTCTCAAGTAGTATGACCAGAGCTTGGCTTAGACTTATGGAAAAAAGTAGACACAGATCTTAACCTCTAAACTTAATATCTTGCTGCAGAAATTACTACTGAAAAGACAAATGAGCTTAATATCCAAGAGAAAGTGAAATGACATTCACAAACGCAGTAAAATCTCTAATGATAATGAACTGATTGAATTATGCATTTAAAGGGATAAACTGCACTAGAGTACATTCTATAAGGATCCACCTTTATTCAGATTCTCCATACTCTAGAAAGAGATATTTTTTATCTATACTTCTCCCTGGTTTCTGATCCAACAAAGTAAAGTTTTGTCTTGATTTTTATAAAAATGGTGTCAGAAGCAGGCTTTCTATGATGTGGAGGGCATTTCAAATTTTTCTTACCGATGGCTCCCCTGGAAGAAAACACAGACTTTCCCATGCTATGACTGTGACTTCCGGGACTGGATTGTCCTCTGTCCAGCGTTAAGTGCACTGTTTCACTGTCTCCCACACTCACATGCCTTACTCTGATTTCAGCCTTGCCTCCTGGCCACTGATCCCTGGTCATAGCACAGTGTCTAAGTGTACACATAGCCCCCACTCTCACTTAGTGTGTGACTACATAAACAGGTGATGCCTTGAGTTCAAGTTTATTGGTCAAATAATCCCTATATAGATTCATAGAAATAACCCAAGAAGGGGGCCATAAAGAAGAAAAAGATTTGGAGCTATCTAAAGAGAGATGAACCATTATCAACAATTGGTGTGTTGAAAAATACAACATAAAGTAGACGTGGTGGCACATCCCTAGAATTCCAATCCTCTAGGAAGCTGAGGCAAGAGGATAGCAAGTTTAAACATAGCTGAGGTGATCTAACAGGACTCTATCTCAAAATTAAATATAGAAAAGGGCTGGAAATACAGCTCAACCTGAAGGACCTGGGTTCAATCTCCAGTGATTGGGAAAAAAAAAAAAAAAAAAGCAAACACACGACGTAAGGGATAAATAAACACCCTGAGAGTGGGACCCATAGTGTCACTATCCAATCTCAGAGCAATCCCACTCCGCCATCAGGAGGAGCCTGACTGCACTCTGAAAGTGAGAAGGCTGCCTCCATGAGAATAAAACTGATGTTTCCATCCCAACCAGTTCTCACCAAAGCGACTTCTGCCAATGCTAAAAGATTGGTTTGGTGAAACCTAAACTTTCCTGTCATTGCAAACTGTTTCCCTTTTCCTAAATACACAGAAGGGTTCCCACTGCCGTCCCTTTCCACTATCTGCTCTGTCACCAATACTTCTCCTGTCAGTGAGCAGCCACTTCCACCCGCTCCCCAGCCCTTTCACTGTACCCTCACCGTGGGGCTTGTAGACCCTCAAAAGCCCCAATTGCCTTCCTCCCCACTGACCATTACAACCACAGAATCTTAATTTTCTCCTGTCTGGCTAAATATGTCCTGTTTGTAGACATGTATCATCGCACTGCATCACCAAGCACTTTCCACTTCTTTTCATTTCCCAACTCCAGTGACTCCGTGAGCATCAAGAGCTTCAACATCTGGCTCTGTGCTCCCTTTCACCCTAGCTCCTGTCATCACCTTAGGAAATACCAACATTTATGTGAAACGTCCACTGAAAACAGTCTGCTTCTTGCCTTCTTTGTTTCTGATGACCTTAACTCCATTCCCTTGTGCCAGCTATTCTCACCACACCTTTCTTACATTATTTTTTTTACTTCTAATCTCACGTAGATCTTTAGACCCACTTGTCTGTACTAGTATGTGTGTATAACTACCTCCTTTCCGGGGATTATTTGAAATCTTCAGGGTTCTTTCCTTCTTTCCTCCCAGCTGCCATTCATCTGACTTTCGGCAGAGGGTCGTTCCTCCTTCTTTGATAATAAAATCATAGCCATTCTTTTAAAAACTTCATCACTGCCCCTCACACACACAGCCCCACACATTTCAATTTACTTAACTTCCTTACCTATTTTTGTTCTTTTTCCTCTGGTCCCACAGGATGAGGTTTTCTGAACAAACTATAACTAACACCCTCTCTTTTTCCTTTTTCTGTTCCAATTCAAACTTCCTAAAAGAATAATTTTCTCATCTCCCATTTATTTCTTTTTATGCACCCCATAATCACATTATAACATGGTTTTCATCTGCTTCACTTTATCAATATCCTTTTCATTAAATTTTTCAATGATATCTTAATTTTCCTTACCCCAACATTAAAAATTCAATCATCCTCTGCTATATTTTATATTAATAGTTATTTCTTTCTTCTTCAGGGTATTTCTTTTGCTCTCTTCGAAATGCATGTTTTTTCCATGTTTTGCTCCTACTTTTGAGACCACCAATTCTCAGTTTCTGATGTGGGTTCTTTCCCATCCTTCACCCTACTTCTAATTCTTAAATTTATTTCTCATGGACCCTGCCCATACTTTTCTCACTCTCAGTGTTCACCACTGGAAACTCTTCTACTCTTCAATTATGAAGCATCAATATTGTTTGGATAACTCTCAAACATGAAAATGTATCCAGTTCTACTTCTTTTCCAATATTAGATTCTTTTCTCCCTCTTTCAAAAATATGGCTTTACCTAGTTTACCCAGACATCTTGAAAT